GGGCTATTTCTTGTTTCACTAGTCAAAGAACACTATAAAACAGGATGGACATTTTACGTAAGATTTCATTTATGAAATAAAATAAAATGTACTTTATTGTACAATTTAGGACATACATAGCCATTTTGTGTGTGTTTAACACATATAAAACGTTGGTTAATAAACCCGTCTATTTCATTATGAAAATACGATAGGACTTATAATTTGTAACGAACAAGGTTCAGGGGAAAGAGTAGAGAAATTATGAATGCGTGAAAAGCTTTCTCCAAATATATTTAGGTATATAATAACGACCACTGATATACAGTAATACTAAATCCAAAGCAAAAGGGATCCTTAATTCTTTTTAAATAAATAAACTCAATTAATTGTGTTAGTAGGATATAAACTACAGTAATCTATATATATAAAAGGCAAAGCCCTCACTGACTCACTCACTCACTCACTCATCACTAATTCTCCCACTTCCCATTTACCTAGAAGGCTGAAATTCGGTACACCGATTCTTTGGGCATTAAATAGGAAAACTAAGTAGTTTTTATTCTGATCGAGCTTTCGGGCTCCGCCCCAGTGGCTCTGGATTTTCTCATGTTAACCTTATGAGTACTCATATTTAAATGGAATTAAAGAATCTTAACAGCTGTTTCAATTAAACAAGTTGGTTCTGTTCTATGATGTTCAATAGCATTAAAGTTACAAGGATTACCAACAGGGTGCAGCACTATTATTTTTTTAAATTTATGACACAGCTAATTTGCAACCAAAAGGTGAGTGAGCGTAGCGAAAGAACTTCAACCTGGAGGCGAGTTAGCATAGCGAACGAGTTAACCTGAAGGCAAGTGAGCGCAGCGAACGAGCTCCAACCTAAAGGTGAGTGAGCGTAGCGAACGAACTTCAACTAGGACGTGATCAAGCCATGCGAACGAGCTCATCTTGAAAATTAAGAAGTTAAACGGGGCAAAGCCCGCGGGTACAGCTAGTTTTGTATAAGTGTATGGAGTAAAATTCAATTTACATAAAGGTTATGATCAACAGTTTTGCCTAAAGTGTTAGCCATTTAAATATTTTAACTTGTTATGTTTTTAAATCTAAACCATACATGTTTATTCTTCATACGGTGAAAATAAAAGTCAAGGCACTTTTAAATATAAAAATCGTAAAAAAATTAAATTTGAAAGGATTTAAAAGGTATGAGGAACAATAGAGACTAAAACAAATTCTCCTATAGATATTTCTAGCGTTTTTAGTACACGACACGCGCTGAGCTTACTGTGATCAAGTCTGGTAAAATGTTGCCCAGCTTCCAACACGGAGTCGAAACTAATGAAGTAATGAGAACATTATGACTCATCCCCCGCTGGGCGTTCACGACTCTTTTTGTCCTAATTGCAAGTATCCAGGGGTTAATTAGAATGTTAGTTGCTGCCGATGCTATCAGGGCGATAATTGCCTTGTTTTGGACCGTCTAGCGCGTGGACTTTGTGGTAGCGACTACCATCTGGACCACGGACTACCTCAGGGGCGCGGTATGGCACCGGGTTTCTTTTTGTTGGTTTCCATTTTTGCGATGATTTTGTTTGGGTTAGGAGGTTAATCTCAAATTCTTATAGTTGAAAAAGGTTTCTGTATAAACCCTTATGCAAGGTTTGGCGAGTATATTTATAATCAAAGTAGTAGTAGAGTACTTATAATCAAAGAAAGGTTGTAAGCGAACTAAAGGAAATTCGTGAATTATTAAACCATGAGTGTTTATTTTAGAGATTGCTAAAACCGGGAGTATTTAATAGAGGAATAGATTAGTAGCTGATTAGTTATATTAGTTTAATAACAATCTGTTGGTCGCCGGTTAGATAGTGAGAAAAGTTAGTAGCTGTTTATAGTTTTGAAAACGAACGCAATGCTTTTAGTAAACGAATTATAGAACATTTAATATTTCAGTCAGTACCAAATCTACGTAATATTACATCAATGCATGGCATGACATTAGTGTGTAGTAAAACATACTAGTATTTATGGCATTTTATTGGATATGGCCTATAACTTCGACGTTTTTCCCCGTTAAACATATTTCAAGTATTCATTCAACACTATCATACACACTGTCGTAAGAGGACATAAGCGCCCTTTCAACATTAACAACCCAAATAAAGCAAGAACTCCCTCTCCGGTTTCAAGAAGTGAGGTTATGATTCAGCAGTGATTGCCAATGATCCTTCATAAATCACACAAGTGCGGAAAAAAGCGGGAACAAGTGTTAAAAGATTGAAAGGGGGAGGGCCGATCGGGATATTGGCTGTAAACGGCTTTATGGTCTTCGTTTTCATTGTAGTACACGGGTTATAACTCATACACACCTGCCGCCGTTGCTTGATCTCTGTATTCGTCCGGTCTAGACGTCCTTACGTCCTTTAAGGTCTTTTTTACTGTATTTCGTAAATATTACCAAGTAAATTAGGCACACTACTCTTTACAAATGGTGCTGGGTAGCTGGTCGTAGTGCTCAACAAAAATTCTGAAGATCACCGGTTCAATCCTGAGCAAAAGCCATTGACTTGATAGTTCAAAACTGTAACCAGATGTCCTTGATCATTATGCTTTTCAATTATCCTGGGTAGAGAAGAAGCTCATCTTCTTTGGCAAAGCTACTATACTCTCTGTGCATTCATATCCAGCTTAAATACGAACCCAAAGTTCATCCCTACTTAATTGAAGTGTGATGATATGATTATTCAGAGATCAACTATATCCAACCGCAGATCCAATGACCAACGGTTACATCATGGTTGACAAATAACTGAGGACCATGATATAATAAGATATTGATGTACAAATTTCCAAACATTGTAAAACTCTCTTCTGACATGAGTTTACTTGCCTTGATCAATATAAGTCTTAAGCAGGCTATAAGTTGGTGTCGCGTGCAAGCAGATGTTTTGCCTTTGGAAAGGTTGACATCAAAAAGCGTCTTTGACACTCAAGTGAGGCTGTGAGGTTAGTTAAGCGAAGAGGAAGAACACCTGAGGGTCTCCGATCTCAAGGAGAAGCAGATGACACGTCAAAGACGTTAAAAGTTCATCTTGAGCCACGGGTGCTTCCTGGCATATAAGGGGCTTAAGGGATTCATGATGAACTTGTCAAGAATAAAGGTACGTAGCATTTTTACTTTGTTACCAATTTACATTTGATTTAGTGTAGTCTAAATACAGGGTTATTACAAATGATGTTCATGATTTCAAACATACATAAAATATAGTTTTATTTGTTATACAAAGAAATTAAATGGTTACAACTTTTGAAAAACTCAAAAAGTTTCGACACAGATACACAGAACTGTAAATGCTCGATACGGGAACCCCTTGTGGTACGACAGATGTCAATAATGTAGTCAAGCTCTTGCTAGACTTTGAAAAGTGTGTCTTGATCTATTGTTTCGATAGCATTGGTAATCCGTTCCTGAATCTCAAGTATGCTATCTGATAACGGTGGTGTGTACGCCTTATCTTTGATGTATCCCCACGAGAAAAAAATACAGGGGGTGATGTCCGGAGATCTTGTAGGCCAGTTCAGGGGTGTGTCATTGTTCGGACCACCGAGCTCGTTCCATTTCTCAGGCAGCACATTGTTAAGTTCAGCCCTACTACAAGTAACATTCAAATGCAGCCATTTCTCTTAAATTTTAAGTGTGACTTGCCAATATAGTGGTTACAAGAAGGATCATCGTTGAACCTGGTTCTAAAGTGTCGTTGCACACTAATAACAGATTGGTTAATGTAATATTCCAACTGGCAAAAAGCTTTCCTGCCTTCAAATTCAACCATTACACAACACTTACAACAATTGACTTGACAAACAGCTGATATGCACCCAAACCAATGTATATGAAACTTTATGAGTTTTTATTTCCAATGGTACCAACTAAAATAGTCTTGAAACAAATTAACCCAGTAATATTTATAATCTAAATCAGGAACATCATTTGTAATAACCCTGTATATTTAGATGCATGTTATTTTTGTAGTAACACTACTGTGATATTACTCTTCCAAGTCCGTGTTAATTTTGCAGTTAGTTTCCAAATAAAAAAAACACTAAGCTAACCATCAGTGGAGTGTGTGAAGTACAGTTTCTTTCGTATACCAACACGAAGAAACATTATGGGTTTCATAAAATACATACTGAATATTTTAATATTAAAGGTATTTATATGAACTGTCATAGTATGCAAAACTGAAGTAGAATATAGAACTTCAAACGAAGCACAGTATTACAAGATCATTCCACCATGCTCTCTGTGTTATGGAGAAGGGAGTTCTACTTTAGTACTCACAGTCGATGATTACCTTTTAAATTATAAATAGTAGAATTAAATTATAAACAGTTTAGCCACACTTTACACAGTTATTACAGCCTTTTCATAGAGTCCAAACCTAAAATATAAACTCCCCCACCCAGGGACTATGAAGGTTATTGAGTGTTTCAAAAAGTCCTTGAAAACCCCACCCTCTTTCACCATAGTGGCCAAAGTGGTGGGAACTTGAATTAAGTTAACTTTAAATAAAGAACACTTTGACGCCCCTCTATTCAAATTGAGTTTTCTCCCGGCCAAGTGCCCTTATTGCCGCGGCCTTTTTCGTCCCTAAGGACCTTCGATTGCAGGGTCAAGAAGGGGTGTTACTTCGCAAGGGTTATTGAAAAACTAATTATTTACTAACACCGGGTATTACTTAAAGTATGTAACTCTAGTTTGATTTATTATTTTTTAGATTGTGAGGAAATTGTTTGATAACTGAGACTTGGTTTTTAAGAAGACTTCTGAACTTTAGTAATGTTTTACAGTTTAGCCATTATTTTAACAAACTGTAATGCAATTATGTTTCCAGGGATGATTTTTTGTTTTTTTTTTTTTTTTTTTGTCCTTGTTAAGCTGGATTTTAATGATTTATTTCAAGTATTTTCATGGGTACATAAACAAAATCTTGACATTGTAAGAAATCATTTACCTGAAGGAGATGTAGGCAGACCTTTGGCGTGAAGAGCAGATTGTTTGTCTACCTCTTGCTTGTTCCAGTCTGAAAATCAAATGGTACCGTCTTTTCAACAAGTTGGAGCAAGATTATGTTTATAGATATAATTTAATGTTTAGCCTTGTTGCTTCAAAATTTGGAAGATATACTTTTGCATTGTTACAAGTGTAATTTTCCAATTAATTCCTAAAATTGCATGAAGTCATTTACCTGAAGGCAGGCCAAGAATGGCGTGGAGGGCGGCTTGTTTCTCCTCCACTTGTTTGTTCCAGTCTGAAAAATCGAATGAAGCCGTATTTTCAAAAAGGTTGTAGCACTGTTATGTTTCTAAAGATAATTTATTCTTTGATCTTAATACGTTAGGTTTAAGTTTTATTGGGTGATCATAGTACTCATCTAATTATGGTAGATGTATTTTTGAACAGTTTAACTCTATGATACAATATTGTAAACACGCATTTACCTGAAGGAGGTGTAGGTAGGCCAAGTCTTGCGTGGAGGGCAGCTTTTTTGTCATCCTCTTGCTTGAGCCATTCTGAAAAATTGAACGGAGCCGTCTTTTTAACATATTGGAGCACGACTATGTTCCTAGAGATGATTTATTAGTGAGTTTCATTTTGAATGTTTTTTCTCAAGCATTTTATCTGTCTACCCGAGAGGTTATAAAGCTCACCTTCAAATCCAGAGCCACTGGTTCGATTCCAAACGCAATCGTTACTAAACTCAGATGCCATTGTCATTGGGAATTCATTAATGATGCTGACAAAAGGTCGACGTTAAATAGTAACAAGACCAGGGTTTGGACCGTTCCCTCACAAAAAAGTTACGAGAAATTCCATTGTTGGGGAAACATAAATATAAAGTGTAATTCTACGATTAAATCCTGGTATTTAAGTATTAATTTACCTGAAGGAGGTGTAGGCAGGCCAAGCCTTGCGTGAAGGGCAGCTTTCCTCTCATCTTCCTGTTTTATCCAGTGGTTCTCCTCCTTCAACCAAGGTAACTGGGCGCCTGCAACAGAAAACAAAAGTTAGATTGGAAATATAGGAATAATTTATCTAACACTGGCGCAAACCCTACAAAGGGTTTGTGAAAACAGCCCGAAAAGAATGTTGATGACGTCCATAGCCAACAGAATCCTTCAGTAAAACTAGTTACTTTAGTTTCTTTTCTTCAATTCCAAATGTGAAATTGTTGCAAATCTTTAAACACAGGTACCATTGGAGGTAAGTCAACCTTTCTGTCAAACCATCTAATTGCTTTACTTTCTTTCACTACCAGCAAGCATTTCACATCATATGCTCCATTACAAAATGCCAACTGACAATTAACTAATTACTACCTAAATCAGGCCTTTCGAGTCCAATAGACACGGCGGATCAGACCGGACCAATCAGAATCGCAAAAAGTAGAACGCATTGACAAACATGGCGCAGACTTTATAGAATCATCGAGGTTTCCTCGAAGAGAAATCTGCATCGTTGCTAAGGACATCGTGAAATGCGGAATCATTAGCGATTTTAATTGTTTGAGCGATTGTAGGCAGTCAGGGATAAATCGTTTCGCGGAAAGGTTAATTGTAGATTGCTGAACGAGAGCAACTATGATCCGGTAAACGGTCACGCACACAACGCGACGTGGAATACGCAAAGAGTTGATGAAGGTTTTCTTCTGCGGATGTCCGGAGACTACAAGAGAGTCAAGCTCACCGAAATATTGAAAATTTTATTTCATTCTAAATAGTTATTTTTTCTAACTTATTTTTTTAGGATTGCACATTGCAAGAAACTCAATAACTTTTTAGAGTTGACTTTTAATATTGGTGTGGTGATAATGTTTCTAATGGAAAATTCTGTATACATCGGATATGGAGAACCTAAGTACTCTAAACTTCAACAAAAGCAAGAATATAGATACAGATTTTTCAACCAACTCAGTCGCAGAATCAAATCGACGTAAATTACGTAACACGAACCAACCCAGAGCAGACGTGACTGAACATTCATTTCCCCGGACAGAAAACACTAAAACGTCAACAATAGATTAAATGAGTTTCGTCTCAGTTTTAATTAAGGCGATATTATGCCTCGCTCCATTCCTTCATGCAAAACCAAATCCGAACATTTATTGCCTGTTTATGAACTGAAAACTTATGAGTCATAACAAAGGTGTTGCGGATTCGAAGAAACCCCGTAAACGCGTTGAAGACTGTTATCACCATCTCTGGAGTGGACTGGAGCGAGGCCGTTATTCCGCGAACGCCGTAAACCGTTCGATATCGTTTTCCGGGACTGCGCTGGACAGTCAATTGACACGGCTCTTGAAAAAAGTTGACACTGAACTCTTGGTCAAGGAGGTTTTACGTTGAATACCACGAATTGAAATAAGATCAACAACTCCTTACACTTGACGAGTATAATGAGTCCATAAAATTGATCGCGCCAAATAATTATATAGAAGTAGGCAAGTAGGAACAGGGAGTGATCATGGTGCAGTAATCACACAAGATCGTAAAATTCAAAACTGAAATGAAGATTGGTTCAGCTTTCAATAAATTACTTCATGTACTGATTGATTGCCATATTACCTTGCTATGCAGAGATTTTGGACGACGCATGAATGCATATTCAGTGGCAATACAAAGGAGGTTCTTTACACTCCTAATGACCGAGACATTCCTGTATACCATCGGAGACCTAACCGCAGGCTCTGACCTTGACTACGGTTTATTAATTGTCCTCGAATAATTAACCCAGATATCGCATTGTCCGAAGTTGCCAGTCATCTTGTGTCTGACCTTGTCCTGCTGCGGACTACCAAGGAAAGTCTTTGGTAGCAGACCAATAGACCTTCTAGTTTGAGATGTCAACCAAACATTTTCAAATATTTTCCTTATCCCAAAGCTGAACATCTAGTTTGAACACAATCGATTATAATCGAAGTCAATCATCTCGGGTATGACCTTGTCTTTGTGTGAATACCAAGAAGAAAGTACCGACAGGCTATCATTAACCTGTGCAATATTCAAAATATTTTTCACTTCTTTCTACAAAGGTGGTCAACCAGCTTCGTCACGATCGATTAAGAAGCAATATGACTCATATTCAGTTAGTGAGTGACCATAAGGGATCTTAGTTGGGGGAGGGGGGGGGGGGTGTAGTGGACAACAATTAGGGTGGTCAGCTGACGACGTCCAACAATCAATATGGGGGTGGAGGGAGGGCCGTCATCTGCTCGGGAACATCATCTGCGGGCTGGACCTTTGAAATATCTGCTGAAAGTAGGGGTGGTTCGGCTATATAAAGTGTGAGGTGTGGACTTTGTCAGTTTTTCAACGATTGTGAATAGTCTAATTTTATCATGATGGTGAGGTGTAGGCTTAAAATAATTTAACTAGATTTTTTTATAGTTAGTAAAATATTAGATGAATATAGTTTACAATGAATAGATTAGGCCCATAAGCTATGTTTGGATGAAATTAAAATGTCTGAAGAAGGCACAGTGATGCTGAAACGGCCGTAACATGTGTTAAACCCCTTTAAAGCTGGTTCACGAAGGTAGTTTACTGATTTAGTCACAGGATCAGCTCAAGGCCTACAAATTATAGATTTGAATTACAATTGGAAATGATGTTATAACACCTCATAAAACTTTGCACACATATGTTGTTCATAATGAAATTTTTCATATGAATTCAGTAAACGTTGTATGAATTTATTCAATAGTGGGTTTCAACAAAATATTTGATAAAAATTAATAACTTATCACAACATGTTTTACCTAATAACAATATATATTCACCTACATAATAAAAGCTTTTGGTGAGGAAAAAAGTAGTTATTGACCAAGACAAAATAATTCAACGTATCTTTTAAAACTTCTCTTCGAATTTGTAAACACAAACAAAAAGTAAGAGTGCTTCAGTGAGACGTTTTCCACACCTTTGTCTGAGATAAACTAACGAAAGTCGCCTTTGCCAACCTTTGAGCGAAGAATGTTTTTGAAGGGCAGTAGTTGAATAATGGAGGAGGGAGTCTTCTTTTAATCTGCCAAAAACATTCGATGACAAGATGGCGGCCGCTATTTCCTTATTGAAGAGGTGCACTTTGAATAGAACGAAATCAGGATGGCAAACAAAATCAAGTTAAATCAGCAAAGAAAAGCTTTGAAGCCCAATTGGATTCAGCGCGGCGCGGAATTGTGGACGTCTTTGTCCTCTTATCTATTCTTTACACGGCACTTTTTACTGCGGTCCTCATTCTCTAAACAAGACGTCTCTTTGTAGGTAAAGAAATTTGGGTTGGTAAACTGAGGTTGACGTTCGTTTGGGCTTGGAACGTTGGAGAATTACAAAATGTTGCGAGAATTCAAACCTTCATACGTTAAGGATTTTTATAGTTTTTATAGACAATCATATTATGAAAAGTGTATTTAAGATCTTATCTATTTTTATTATACGTGTATCTTGTGTACTTATAACTAAACTACTGTTTTTGAAAACAACTATATTAGGCTAGCTATAACACCGAACTTTTAAAGGCCAGAAATATATTGAGCACAATATATTTCATTACCAGGGTAGGTTAAGTCGCTAATCTAAAATAAATATTTTAGAAATCTATAGATGTCTAGCATGAAAATGTATACCTACAAGGAGATTCTACCTAAGGTTTAATCTTTTGGAGATTGAATTCTGGTCAACACATACAAAAATAAGGGTTGGCAAAATTAACTCGCAAAATATTTTCCTAAACAAAATGATTATAAAGAACTTGAAGAAGTTGTAAAGTATAAAATTGATGTTTAAGTGAATAATAGGATGTTATAAAAAATATTAGATCCCTAAATAAGTTCTACGTTAATAGGTAAAGGAGCAAATGTTCTATGGAGTAAACTCCTGCGCATAACATAAATAATGTTCTACAGATGCTGTACACAAAAATGGGGTCCAGACACACGTTTAGGGGTTATTTCCTGAGAAGTGAGCTTTCTAGCAAAACACAAATAAACTCTTACATATATCAGGTATACAACTCCTACAAAAGTAAATAGAGCTTCTAAACAGGAAATAGAGATGGAGGTTCTAAACAGGAAATAGATATTCTACACGAGGAAATAGAACGAGCCGCACGAGGCGCGCATGCGCAGCCCCACGGCACGGGCAACCCTTGCTGAATAGCAGCCGCCACCCGACCTGGGGATAAAAGAATCACTAATGTAGCAGCACTATTGTCGTCTCCTTCTTCATTTATATCAAAGGAAGTAACGACCAAAGGGTTTGCACCTGCGGCGTACACGCGGTAACCAATGGCGTAACCCTGTAACGTACAGCGCACCCTTCGCCGCACCCCTAGCACGGGCCAATCGTGTTTGCATACGCAAGGGTTGAACATTTGCATCCCTCCCAGCTGCGATGGAGGATTTGAATTTTAATGGAGGTTAAAAAACTACGTACGTTAAGGGAAGTAACCAGTACTGCTCACCCCTTCACCGCACCCCTAGCACGGGCCAATCGTTTGCATACGCAAGGGTTGAACATTTGCATCCCTCCCAGCTGCGATGGAGGATTTGAATTTTAATGGAGGTTAAAAAACTACGTACGTTAAGGGAAGTAACCAGTACTGATCACCCCTTCAACGCACCCCTAGCACGGGCCAATCGTGTTTGCATACGCAAGGGTTGAATATTTGCATCCCTCCCAGTTGCGATGGAGGATTTGAATATTTTTAATGGCGGTTCAAAACTGTATGGAAATAGACAGTTCTGATATTCAGATATTTGTTAAACGGTTTTATTTGGCATTAATACTAATTTAAGAGTTAGAAACGTACATAGCTTACTGGTACATATAGTGGCAATGGAGGCATTTACGTAACATGAAATTCTATTTTTAAATAAAATTGAACCTTTTTCATAAGGAAAACATTTGGGAGGAAGATTATTATTTTTACTAAGCCAATGTATACGGTTAGTTCAAATTTCCACGATAATATAAATAATAAATATATTTC